AAGGCCAGGCTTCCAGAGAAGTTCCAGCACTCTCTTACCAGAGACCTTACCAGTTTGGACGCATTAGAGTTGTAGCAAGTGGAACAGCTTGTCTCTACTCGCATCACCCCTCCCCAAGGAGGCACAGCTTACCTCCAAGAGAACCCTTCTTGGCCTATGCTTTCTCCTGCAGGGGAAAGGGAATGCAGGTGAGTGCGCACCCGGCTTCCCCAGCTGTGCAGGCCCCCACCAGAAAGGCTCCTCTCCCTCCCGCCGCATTCAGAGTACTAAGTCGGGAGCTCCCTGACTTGGGGGTGGAAGAGGCTGGGAGAGCAGCAGGTGGGAATCTCAGAAGGCATTAAAGGGATGCGGATCCTACTCACTGCGTCGTGGGCCCCATCAAGAAGGCTGCCCGTGAGCTGCTTGGAAAGCCTCACCCACGGATCCCCTCAGCTGGCCGTGGGCACCTCCAGCGTCCCACGTGCCTCACCCACACACCCCTACTCTGTAGCTGGCTCGCTGTGAGCTCTCTGGAACGGGGAAGCAAGAGCAAGCTTTGTCAGAACCCTCCCTGCAGGCCAAGGAGAGACCACAAACTTGAGCTGTAGCATCACCTTTAGGAAACAAAAGCTAGGCTGTTGGCACTCAGCCTGGTGCCTTGCAGCATGGAGAGAAGGAATACAAGCTTAAGAATTCTGCCACAAGAGGGAGCAAAGTGTGCAAGAGGTATGTCCATAGAGGGTCTGAGGAAGCCTCAGAACCTTTGACAGGACAGAAGGAAGGTACTTCTGCCCCAAAGACAGTAAATACTGGGGAGGTGACTCCTACTTCAGCCGTGAAGATAGCAGCGCAAAACTCCAAGGAACATGAAAATCAAGGAAACAGGAAGAACCAAAGGGTAACAATAATCATCCAGTAACCCAGCCCTATTTTGCAAACTTTGGGCAGACTTCCAATGTTATATAATTATTAACATAAATAAAATGTACTATAGCTTTTATGTGTGTATATACAAAACATATTTAGCGTTTTCAGGAAATAAATCTATCCAAAAGTGAATTTTGTTATTATCTGTTATGTGCTTTTTAAAGGGTTAACTTTTTCTTACGTTATTTTTAACCATTTTAAATGGAAATTTGCTAGTGTGCTTTATATCTCCCTACCTTCTGAAGAAGAGCGTACCGAACCTAATTTAGCCCGTTCAGAAGGATTTAGTTATCATTATGGATTTTATTTAATGTGCTCAACTTTAATACACTGGTGTTCTCTGCTACTAAAAAGGTCTGAATGTTAGATCCTCCACTAAACAGTCCCAGTTTATATTAATTTTTCATTTATCTGCTTTTTATGGGAATGTTCTAGGGTTTTTGCTTTTGTTCTTAAGGGAGGGCCTTTTTGTTTCAGCGCCAAGTTCTCAGCATTTCTTTAACTGCGTAGTATACATAGGAAGACTTATGCCTGTGTGTGTACTGTGTATACCTGTGCCTGTGTGCGCACCATGCGTGTAGACTTATGCCTGTGTGTGTCTACATTCTGTGTATACCTGTGCCCTGTGTGCACACCATGCGTGTGGACTTATGCCTGTGTGTGTACTATGTATACCAGTGCCTGTGTGTGCACACCATGCGTATAGACTTATTCCTGTGTGTGTGCTGTGCATACCAGTGCCTGTGTGTGCAGACCATGCGTGTAGACTTATGCCTGTGTGTCTACATTCTGTGTACACCTATGCCCGTGTGTGCACACCATGCGTGTAGACTTATGCCTGTGTGTGTACTGTGTACACCTGTGCCCGTGTGTGCACACCATGCATGTAGACTTATGCCTGTGTGTCTACATTCTGTGTACACCTGTGCCCGTGTGTGCACACCATGCATGTAGACTTATGCATGTGTGTCTACATTCTGTGTACACCTGTGCCCGTGTGTGCACACCATGCATGTAGACTTATGCCTGTGTGTCTACATTCTGTGTACACCTGTACCCATGCGTGCACACTATGCGTGTGGACTTATGCCTGTGTGTGTACTGTGTATACCTGTGCCCGTGTGTGCACACCATGTGTGTAGACTTATCCATGTGTGTCTACATTCTGTGTATACCTGTGCCCGTGTGTGCACACCATGCGTGTGGACTTATGCCTGTGTGTGTACTGTGTATACCTGTGCCTGTGTGCACACCATGCGTTTAGACTTATGCCTGTGTGTCTGCATTCTGTGTACACCTGTGCCCATGTGTGCACACCATGCGTGTAACTTATGCCTGTGTGTGTACTGTGTACACCTGTGCCCGTGTGCACACCATGCGTGTGGACTTATGCCTGTGTGTGTGCTGTGTACACCTGTGCCCGTGTGTGCACACCATGCGTGTAGACTTATGCCTGTGTGTCGACATTCTGTGTACACCTGTGCCCGTGTGTGCACACCATGCGTGTGGACTTATGCCTGTGTGTGTACTGTGTATACCTGTGCCTGTGTGTGCACACCATGCGTTTAGACTTATGCCTGTGTGTCTACATTCTGTGTACACCTGTGCCCGTGTGTGCACACCACGCGTGTAACTTATGCCTGTGTGTGTACTGTGTATACTCTGTAGTTCTCCTTTTTCCTTTGTCTCATTTGCTCTTTGAAGTGCAGTGAGTTGCAAAACTAAAGAACTTAAACCAGTTAGAATTGTATCTCGTAGTGAGTATAAATCAGCTTGTGTAAAAGGAGGCTTTAAAGTCTAATGCAAGGCGTGGTTCAGTAAACGTTTGTGAGGCTCCTGCCTTCTTCCAGGCAACATAGTTAATAAAGGAGATATTAGACCCTGCACTCAAGATTAGAATCTACCTGGACAGGCATGTATAAAATTATTATAATTATTATTATGTTATTAATTACAGTAATTGCATTATCTTAATAATGAATCATAAATGCTATTTATTATAATTATAATAAGTACTATTAAAATTATTATAATACTGTTTAGCAATTTCAACAACATGTTAGAGAATACAGATGAACATCTAACTCTGTAAAGCGTTAATAAATACCCATTTTGATTGCTCAGAGGCTTTTCTTTAACCTCCTGGCATTTTGCCAAATTTTGAATAGTTGACATTGCCAAATGAGTGAATTTTTAAAAATTAGGGTGTGTACACAAAACTTGTTTTACAAACATATATACCAAAGTAGTAATATATACTCTTGTCCATCATTTGAATTTGTAAATGTAACATTTTTTCTGTGTGAGTCTTTTGCCCAGAATTAAGCTGTGCTGCCAGCAGGTGGCAGTCATACCTTAGATACGGCCACACAATACAGTTCATGGGCTTATTTGTTACACCTTGCCACAGCATGTAAGTCACAGCAGGAGAAAATTTAGACAGAGAACTTCGTGTGAATGTGTAGAAGAAAGGAAAGACTTTCTGGTTACGGGGAGTCTCATAGCAGAAGGGAAGAGAGAAGTGGTTTGGAGCACAAAATTTGGAGTTTCTCAAGTCTTAATTTGAATCCCATGTTTATCGCTTGCTAGCTATGTTATCTTGGCCAAGTAATTAACCTCTTTGTGCCTGTTTTCTCACTTATTAAATGAAGATATAGCCACTTCATAGGGTTTTTATATGGTTTAAATTAAAGAATGAAAATAAAATGCTTAGCATAGAGCCTGGCAGGTACGATGTTGTCAAGAAATGATGGTTATTATTGCAGGAATCAGGGAAGGTAGGGAGAGAAGGAAATGAGCTGGTTTTGCAGACCCAGCTGCAACGCCAGGAATCCAGGTGACTTCAGGCTGCATGTCTTCACACCTTATAGCCCTCAAGGAAAATATCCCTAATGGACAGATAGGCAGATACTTTTCTTCATCTTTCCCTTAGTTTTGGAGAGGAAGGAGAGGCAGTTGGACAGCATTTGAAAGTAAAGACTCGAATGGCATCTTTCTCAAAGATGCCTCACACCTTCCTCTCCGCAGAGAGGAGACTTGTTCCTCTGAAGACCCAGTCTCATCTGCTCAGGGAAACAATTTAGCAACTCAGAAATTCAGCTGGCCACATCTTGATGACGAGTGTAATGTCTCCAATCTGTTGTACCTTTAAAACCAAAGAACCTTAAGTCAGGTTTCCTTTTAGGAAGGAATCTTGAATGTAATATAATTTCTTTCTCCTCCATGTACCTCAAAACAAAACATCTTTTCCATCTCCTTACTGTTGCTTCATGTTGCTCCAGTAGCTGACAGAGCCTTCCCTTGTATAATTGGAAATGAAAGGGTCAAAATGCAAATATGGCAGAAGAAAATTCAGCTAGATTGGACCAGTATTTACCAAGTAACATGTAACATGCTGAGATATAGGCTTTGGGGGATAATAGATGATCAAAACGTAGTTCCTACTCTAAAAAATATTACACGTTAAGAGGAGAGACAATTTGCTTATGCAGTTATTTTGAGGAAAAAGATGTGGTCAGTGCTATCATGACTATTATGATAGCTTATATTTATATACACTTTCCGCATTACAAACTATATGTTCGTATGACATGCATATGGTGTCTTGTTTGTTCTTCACAATAACCCCATATATAGAACAAGTATTAAGAGTAATGTGAAAGAGTCATCTGAGGCTCAAAGGTGAAATGCCCGAAGTCACAATGCTACTCAGTCATTCACTTGACTCAGCTGCATATACTTGGAGGCCTGACACATAGCATGGTGGAAGTGCAAGCGGCTTCTATCATTTTTCCCATATGCTGGACACTATTCTGGGTACCGGGAATGTAGTGGTGAATGTGACATACAAAATGTCTGTCTTCAAGGAAGACAAATGGTGGATCCATAATGTAAACCTAGATTTCTCATTGTGCATCCTGTTGTTTTTTTTGTTTCCTGCTGCACCAAAATGCAGTGCTTTGGCCACACTGAGGAGGGAGATAATTCTCACAGGGTGGTTATGGCTGTCCTGATGGAAGGGTTCTCTCCCTGCATCCTGTGCCTGAGTGACTTTAAACGTGCCGTGTTATTCATACTCCTGTTTGTAATTTCAGGTACGCAGATTCTCTGAGGCCTTCTTTTGTTTTGAACATCCCAGGGAAGCTGCCATTGCATACCAGGAACTTCAGTGAGTAGCATAAATCCAAAATTAAAATGATTTTGTTTCCTTTTACATAAGATAGCTATCTCAGAATTTATCAGTGATGTACAATATTTACAGTAGAAGAAATTAGGAGAATTTGAAGTTTAGAAATCCCATTTAATCAAATTGGGTCTAGTCTTCTGAATTACTTCATGAAAGATCCATTCCCTACATCAAGAAGCATGTTGCCCAGTTGCCACCTCCTTCCAGATCAGATCTGCTGTAACCTTGTCAGTCCCGTGCAGCACTGGCTCCAGCCTTCCATTGGGCCAACTTGTAGCTTATTTTTGCAGATCAGAATCTCTCGTATTCATCATTATTTACTACAGAATTTCACAAGCAGTCTGACTGGCACTGCCTTCTGTTAGGTCAGTGGTTTACAGTTAAACTATCCAGAATAGATATCATCCATTTTTCCTAATGATTATATTTAGATCTGGTTTTCTTTGTCTTTAAAGGCTATTTTGAGAAAATTATGCTGAGTGAAAAAAGCATAAAAGAGTAAATACTATGATTCTATTTATATGAAGTTCTGGAAGAGGCAAACTAAGGTGAAGAAAGTCAGAACAGTGGTTGTCTTGGGGTTGGTTGGGCTGGGAGTTTGACCAGAAAGACATGAGAGCACCCTCTGAAGAGATGGAACTGTTCTGTATCAGGTGTCCATTCGTCAGACTCTTATAGCTAAGATATGTGAATTATATGTCAAAAAAAAGCTGTAAATAATAACAGAGTATGGGGTAAGTAGTGAGTGGAGGTGTAGATAAGAAGGCAAAATTAGATTGTTGGAGCTGAGTGAGGGGGTTTATTAATAAATACTATTCTCTTTGATTTGTTTGAAATTTTCTGTAAGGAAAGGTTTTTTGAAAAACTATTTGTGGGGCCCACCCGGTGGCATAGCGGTTAAGTTCGCATGTGTCACTTCAGGGGCCCGGGGTTCACTGATTCAGATCCCACGTGCGGACATGGCACCACCTGGCAAGCCATGCTGTGGTAGGCGTCCCACATATGAAGTAGAGGAAGATGGGCATGATGTTAGCTCAGGGCCAGTCTTCCTCAGCAAAAAAGAGGAGGTTTGGCAGTGGATGTTAGCTCAGGGCTAATCTTCCTAAAAAACAAAAAAGAACTGTATTAGAAAGTTATACACCTTGTTTTAAATAGCTGTTAATTGTGTTCATCAATACATGTTAACTACAGCAGGAGCAATAAAACACATTTTTTTCGACACCATCATCAAATCATTAGTAGGCATTTGAGCTTTTGGTATTTCTCCTACATGCTGTTCTCAGCAAATGAGGAAGTTCAGACATTAAGCATAGATAACTCACTTTGAAGTGACATTAAAAAGTATAGAAGAGGGGCTGGCCCCATGGCCGAGTGGTTAAGTTCGCACGCTCTGCTGCAGGCGGCCCAGTGTTTCGTTGGTTCGAATCCTGGGTGTGGACATGGCACTGCTCATCAAACCACGCTGAGGCAGCGTCCCACATGCCACAACTAGAAGGACCCACAACTAAGAATATACAACTATGTACCGGGGGGCTTTGGGGAGAAAAAAGGAAAAAATAAAATCTTTAAAAAAAAAAGTATAGAAGAAGGTAATAGGAATTAATTGAATAGTTTATCAACAGACCATAATTTTATGTCAGTAATTTTTCAAGAAACCATAATTTCCATTTTACCAGTTTTGATCTCTGATCAAGGATCTCTTCCACAAGGAGGTTGTGTCTTGAGGAAGGGGTAGGAATGGTGAGGGGAGGGGGAAGGTGGAGTCTGGAAGGTGGCAGTGGATGTAATTTTTTTGAATTACAGTCTGACGTCAGCAATATTTTTCAGTGCTCAGAGTCATCTACAGATGTGCACCGCTATCAAAAATACTTCCTTCTGCAGTTCTCTTCCACCCCTACCCATTGAATGTAGTGAATTAGATGGAGATCTCAATTCATTACCTATAATCTTTGAAGATAGGTATTTAGATTCAGTTATTGAAGGTAAGTATAATTTAACTAAAATATGTAAGTTGTGTGTCACTTTCAGTATATTCTTCCTTTTATACGTAAAACCATTCCCTAACGTGGGGCTGTTTTGTCCCCCCTCCAGTTTCATTTATTTTTGAGGATATTAGAAAGTTATAGTCAGAAAAAGTAGTCTTAATCATATGAGTTCTCACACCTTGTTTAAACCTGAATCTTTTTTTCTTTGGATAAAAGACTTAGATGCACCCTGGATGGGAGTTCAGAATCTTCAGAGATCAGAGTCCAGTAGAATGGATAAATGTGAGACTGAAGAAAGCTCTCTAGCTGGACTTGCTAGCCCAGAGTTCACAGTCAGACCTGCTGGTGCCTCCAGTTTTTGGTATACAGAAGGTGAAGAACAGCTAACAAAATGTCTGAAAGGAAAGAATGAAGAATCAAATAAATCCAAGGTTAAGGTTACTAAGCTCATGAAAACAATGAAACCTGAAAACACAAAAAAATTAATAAAACAGAACTCTAAGGATTCTGTGGTTTTGGTAGGCTACAAATGCTTGAAAAGTACAGCATCAAATGATCTCTTTAAATGCTCAGAAGGCAATCCTTCACATAGTCAGAAGGAAGGTCTGGATCCCACGATATGTGGATATAATTTTGACCTAAAGACCTACAACAGACAGACAAGTCAAAAGGAAGCTAGCTTTTTGCCAACTAATACAGAGAGAACTGAACAAAAGTCTCCAGATATTGAAAATATGCAGCCAGACCTGTTTGATCCTTTGAACTCTGGCGGCCTAAATCTTTGTGCAAATTTGTCCATTTCAGGTAAACTTGATACCTCCCAGGACGATAATGAAATTACACAAGTGGAGCACAATGTGGCAGCTAGAAGTTCCTCAGAGGATTTCCATGATCAGCAAACGCCATCGGCAGGAGTTAGAACCATTGAAGTAAAGCCCTGTGACAAAGACCCTTTCAGTGGCGAGAAAGTAACTGTTAAAATAGGACCTTGGACAGAGCCTCGACTAGATGAAATGCTGGTGGACAATTTACAGCTACCCAACTTTGAGTCCTTAGAATCTAATGGTAAATCTAAATCTATAGACATAACACTTGAGAAGGAAGCTTTGCAGGAAGCAAAGTGTCGTTTTGTCGGAGAGCCGTTAGCTAAGTTAAGAAGTAATCAACCTGCTGCCTCTGCGAAAGAATATCATGTGGTAGTGAGTGCAGATGCAATTAAGTTACCAGATGGTAATGCCACATACGCCTCATCTAGATTTTCAGATTCAGGGGTTGAGAGTGAACCAAGTTCTTTTGCAACACATCCAAACCCTGACGTAGTGTTTGAAGTTGTGCAGGGGCAAGGCCCTTCCCCCACTGAGAGGGTGTTTCCTCCGCTTTTGATGAGGGCTGACGCCAGCGTGAAGCTTTCACTAGGCAGTCACTGCACCGAGAGCACCAGCGCTCTAAGTGAGGTGCAGTCGTCTCTGACGTCCATCAACTCACTGCCGTCTGACGATGAGCTGTCGCCTGAGGAAAGCTCTAGGAAACCTGTTGCACCTGAATGCCACCTAAGTGATAGCAAAACTGTGTTAAATCTAGGGACAGTTGATTTGCCAAAATGTGACAATAGTAAAAAGTCAAGCATTATTTTGCAACAGCAGAGTGTCGTATTTTCAGGGCATTTGGACAATGAAGCTGTAGCAATACATCCCTTAAATTCAAGCACTAAAGACCCTTTACAATTTATTTTTTCAGATGAAAATACTTCCAGTGATGTGAAAAGTAGGTGCAGCTCCAAACCTAACTTGGACACTGTGTGCAAAGACTCTCGGAGTCCTGATAGACCTGGCAACCCTGCAGGGGCAGCAAGTGCATTGGCTTCAAATCTGGTCTGCTTAGGCACCCCTTGTGTCGTTTCAGGCTCCATTTCTACTAATACAGAAGTTGGTGAAGATAGAACTGTGAAAAGGAAAAATAGTGATGCATTAAATCTCAAACAAATAAACTCGGAAGTCCCTACAGTTAAAAATGAAGCTCCTCTGGGTACAAGTGACCCTTTTTCAGCCAGTCCTGATATGGTAAAAGAAGGGCTTGTAGAAAATTATTTTGGCTCTCAGAGCAGTACGGATATTTCTGACACATGTGCTGTTAGCTACAGCCATTCAGTTAGCCCTCAGAAGGAAACTTCTAAGAGAGAAATGAGTACGCTTCAGCAGGAACAGGGTAAAGAGGATGAGGAGGAAGAGCAGGATCAACAAATGGTCCAGAACGGGTATTATGAGGAAACCGAAGCCTCGGCTTTGGGGGGGACAGTAAGTGCTCGCTATACAAACAGAGGTGCACCAGAAGAAGACAGACTTGTCACCTCTGAAAAAATAAACAGTGGCTATCTGAGGGATGCTATAAATGTGCCTACTGTCTGTACTTCTGGTTGTTTGTCTTTCCCGTCCGCACCACGAGAGTCTCCTTGTAGTGTTAAGCATTCATCTAAAAGTAAGTGTGATGCCATTACAAAGCAGCCTAGCAGCACTGGTTACAGCCTCACGTCATCGGTGTCCTGGTATGAAAATTCACCAAAACCTCAAATACAAGCGTAAGTAATGGAGCACAGCAGCATGCGCTACTAAGTATGTAGAGAGAACGTATATATATTTCTCTGGTAACATGTACATTTCATGTTCTCTACTTTCTGTAATACAAAAAGTGCTTCTGTGATTAGCTGTCTAAAATGGGGAAGTGACTTCAGTACACTCTTTGACAGGCCTGTATTTCCCCATATGATTGTCCTGTTCTATAGGCTAGACATTTCTGATACAAATTTTACATTGATAGTTTTATGTTGAAAGTATGGAATAATTGAGGTTAAAACCGTTTATTTCATCAGTACCTTATTTCTCCCTGATTAACTCCCAGAAACAAGTTAGGTTTTGTAAGTGCACCTAGCAAATAAGGACAATATTAGGTGATGAATAATAGGTTAGTAAAGACTTGCTGAACCTTCCACACCAGCTTGCGTTGGCTAAGTCAGTGGTTCCCAGAATTGAGATTTCATGGACCAGTAGAATATCCAGAAAAATGTGAGGATGACATAAATTTACTAGCATGGCACTCTTCTCAAAATATTCTGCCTCACTCCAGACAGAGTCATAATCGCTGGAGTGAAAGCTCTGGGTGTGCCTACAACAGGTCTTTAAAGTTCCCAGATTATTCTGAGTTATGTAATTAAGATCCACAGTGCCCAAAGCTCGTGAAACCAGAGAGGAGAATTGTGACGTGCTGGGAAGCTGAGGGCAGACCACCTCTGGGCACCTCACACTGTTTGTGGAACACTGAGGAAAACAGTGGTGTGACGAGTGCTGACGAGTGGCTTCACTCGGTGCACCCTACTCCAGTGAGTGTTCATCAGCTTTCTTGAGTCCAAATGGTACAATCTTAAATAGTTAATAACTGTTTGTGTTTACAGTCCCCAAGTTGATTAGATCTGTCAGTCATTCCAAGTGAGTGTGTGCCACCAATTATGTTTAGTCACGTCTCCCTCTTGATTCTGCTTCTTGTTGGTATTTTGAGAGAAAAATACAAATAACCTAATCTACTGCACACTGTAACCACCACTCTTGCTGTTAGGCTTTGTAGAACAGCTCCTTCCCTTCCGCTTATGTAGGGTTAAAAAGGAGCAGACAGGATAAGATTTGATTACAGGATAAGCATCAGATAGTCATCTTTCCAGAACTTCTCCCAGCTTTTCTATGCATACAATGTAAAATTTTGTAGAAAACATAACTCCACTCCTAATATTTTCTTAGTTGATTTCAAGTTTAAAAGAATATTTTTAGGTGATTTCAGGTTTAAAGTATTCCTTGTATTTGCTCAGAATAGGTACTAAAAATAGTAAAGAAAATTACTCTCTGATTTCTCAATCATTCAGGTGATCCCACGCATTTTCATTATTTTAAAACCGAATATTGTTAGATTTCCTCTTCTGCAGTTCTCTAAATTCAGCAGATTGTCTTTTTGGCTCTAAAAACGGAATATAATACTTACTAAAGAGTATCTTTTGTAATATTTTGCTTCAGCTTTCTCCAGGCAAAGGAAGAACTGAAACAACTTAAACTGCCTGGATTCATGTACAGTGATGTTCCCCTGCTGGCATCCTCGGTCCCTTACTTCAGCATGGACGAAGAGGACGGCTCTGAAGAGGGAGTGCATCTCATTGTGTGTGTGCATGGTCTAGATGGTAGGTAACGCCTGTTGATGTAACCCATGGCAATTCAGTATGCGTTCTTTTCCTAATAGAGCTCATTTAGTTCTATTAAATCTTGGAACTGAAAAAAAGATTTTTAAATTGTTAAATTAATTGAATCTTAAATACATTCTAAAACAGAAATATGCTTAACATTGCTAAGTGTAATATTAGATTTCCTTTTAAGTAAATTTTCCATGGGACTGATATCCATGTGCCAGCATTTTATTTATTTTGACTCTGCATTTTTCTCTTTTCTCTCTTCTCGTTGCTGTTGTCAGCTGTCACCTCATGGCAATCATTGTGTCTCCCTTTGATAGTCTTCCTAGTTCCCTTTTAGCTTGATGCTCTAAAACCTTATGAGCTAGAAAAATCAATACCTCAGAATTAAAGATTCACTAATTAATTAGGGTATAATTTAAATTCTAAGTACCTGGCTTTAGTGCTATGGTTTTATGATAATTATTTTGGCTACTCATCAGACTTTTTTTCTAGATTAGGAACTATGTTAGAAGATGCCAAATATCTCTAGACTGCAAAGGATTACTGTATTAGAATGTGATTCCATAAGAAGAAATTGACAAAAAAGTTTATGGATTATAAGAGTATAAACATGGGTCTGAGCTGATAACTTCTCATGAAATTGGAGATTTTTCTTTAAAAAAAAAAAAACTGACTCTCAAGAAATAAACTACCTCCCATGCTAAACTCTTCCTCCCCAATAATAAAATTTCAAAGAATTATCCCCCAAGAAAGACGTCTTGGCCCAGTAGAATCTCTGGCAAATTATTCTTAGAAATTTTCAAGAAATACATTATCTCCATGTTATATAAATTATTCCAGAATAATAGAAAAAAAGATGGAATGCAGCTCATTTTATTCCTTAAAGTTAGCCTAACTTTGTTACCAAATCTGAAAAAGGTATCAAACCCACACCCCAAAAAATAGTAGATCAATCTGACATGAATACACTTAATAAAACTCTAGCAATATTGTAGAAAATATATAAATAAAACTTTAAGAAAGACCTATTGGAAGTAGAATCGATATATTAAAGTCACTAAAACAAATAGGATTTAATTCCCAGGATGCAAAGATAAGTAATTATAAAGAAATTGATTAATAAAATACACTACATCAGCGAATCAAGTAAGAAACTGTTGATAAAATTCAATATCCATTCCCAGTTATGATAACTAAGTGCCAGACTTTAACCCTAAAATAGCGCTAGTCTAGTTCTTTAATGTGATTAAGCAGATATATTTCCAGCCGGTGGAGAAAACACACTTAGTAGTGAAACACAGAGGTGTTCCTTTTGAAATCAAGGATAAAAGTTATCGGGGCCGGCCCGGTGGCCAGTGGTTAAGTTTTCGCGCTCCGCTTCCATGGCCCAGGGTTTTACCAGTTCGAATCCTGAGCACAGACATAGCACCGCTCATCAGGCCATGCTGAGGCGGCATCCCACATGGCACAACTAGAAGGACCCACAACTAAAAATGCACAACTATGTACTGGGGGGCTTTGGGGAGAAAAAGGAAAGATTAAAATCTTTTTTAAAAAAAAGGAATGGGAGCCAGCTCCGTGGCCGAGTGGTTAATTAAGTTCGCGCGTTCTGCTGCGGCGGCCCAGGGTTCGGATCCTGGGCGCGGACATGGCACCGGTCGTCAGGCCACGTTGAGGCGGCGTCCTGCATCCTACAACTAGAAGGACCTGCAACTAAGATATACAGCTATGTACTGGGGGGGGCGGGGGGGGTTGGGAAATAAAGCAGGGAAAAAAAAAAAGGAATAAAAGTTATCTCAGTGCGTGAAATATTTAAAACATGTAAATATTAGAAGAGTAAAGTAAAAATTCAACAATTGATAATGATATGTTTATAGTCCTAAGTAAAACAAAGGAATTAACTAAAAAAGACACTAAACTAATTTTTGGAGGTAATAAATACATTTATGTATTATATCTAGATTTTAAATATTTTATATTTATAGATATCTTTTAAGTTAGTAATTAAAAGATACTATCTTAGATTATTTAACTGGATTTTTATTTCTGTCCGTCTGTCCCAGTACCATCAAAGGAAAAGCCGCAGATTAAATCTCTATCAGAATGCACCCAGGGTTTGTGAAACCATGGCCTGGAGTGGTGCTGTGGGGAGCCCTCAGTCACTCACCCCCTGCTCCAGCCAGCGTCCCGGAGTGAGCCCTAGCAGCTGAACACACCGATAGCCAGGAGGGGAAAGCGTCGGTGTGACTAAGCTCCCTCAGAAACAGACTGTCGAAAGACATTGTCTGGCTGATGGAGATCAGCTTTGACACACAAGTCGAGGACTGTTTCAGAGTGCCTTCTCTGTTCATGACCGGCGTAGGCCACATGCTTGTCTTCAGGATCTGTAAAATACATGAGCACGCGCTTTGTACCTTTAACTCTCTCATCCTTTAGACATAATTATTCATTTTCTTCAATTTCTAGGAAACAGTGCAGATCTCCGATTAGTAAAAACTTACATTGAACTTGGACTACCTGGGGGAAGAATTGATTTTCTTATGTCTGAGAGAAATCAGGTACAATATGGTGGTGTTTTCAGTGGGAGCAAACACTTTTGTACTAGTTTCTGTGTAAATATTTGCTTCGTACAAAGTGTAGTAGTAGAAATAATTTTTCTGATTTCTATGAAATTTAACATTAATGCATATCCCAAAGAAGTAAAAGTGATTTTACAGTTCAGCTTATGAACTATTCACAAGTGCAGAAATTTCTAGAATTTCACATTTCTATGCAGAGAGTTCATTAATTAAATCGTTATAAATAATCTTACATTAAATGCTGGTGGTGAGCTAAACAATTAAATAACAAAATGAGGCAAGTGTTAGTAAGAGCAGTGAACATTTTTTCCCCTAGATATTCACTCTTTTTGCTCATTTTAATATAATGAATATTACATTCACTAACTTCTCTAAACACTGGTCTTAACCATATTTTTAATACCTAAATTAAAAATAATGTTTATACTCAGTTTTTCATGTGATTTTATATATTCAGTATGTAATGTGTCTGTCTTGCTTTTGTTTAGAATGATACTTTTGCTGATTTTGATAGCATGACTGATCGCCTTCTGGATGAGATAATACAATATATTCAGATATATAGTCTAACAATCTCAAAAATAAGGTAACATAATATTATATATTTATTTTATATCTCTATGAATTATGGAAAAACTAAACAGAATTTGTGGTACTTTTGTTGTCCTGTTATGACCTGTAGGAGACCACAACTCAAATTAACTAATTCAAAGAGAAAAGAAAAAATTAAAAGATTTTAGGGAAAGACCACATGTTATACTATTCTGTTTATATAAATTGTGCAGAACTGGGAAATCTGTAGAGACAGAAGTAGGTTCGTGATTACCAGGGAAGGGGAGATAAGTTACGGGGTATTTTTTGAGGTGGCGAAAATGTTCTACAATTTCTTGTGGTGACGGTAGCACAACTCTGTGACTACACTGAAAATCATGGAATTGTACACTTTAAATGGGTGAATTGTAATGGTCTGAATCATATCTCAGTGAAGCTGTTACCACAAGGAACGGTTATAGGGCAATGGATGTATGGAAACAAAGGAAACAACAAAAACCGTTCCAGGTTTCGTGACTGCACTTTATCAGTCAGTTTTCCACAAGCAAGAGATGATGGTCAAACCAGTATGTCTCATGATTAAAGCAGTGTCATGTGTAGACATGGGAGAGAGAAAAGTGTTTGTTTCTTCTAGTCCAGTAGGAATTAAAGAAAAAGTCTAAGCTAACCTTCCTGCGTCAGAAAGAGTGAAATAAGCTGTTTACCTTCGTACCCACTGGGTGGGAGGAGGAAGCTGGCTGTGTGCTGTCGGCTTTTGTAGACTTTGGTTCAGGTTTGAAGGTGGAATAGGAACTGAGAGAGAGAAGCAGGTTTCATTTGAAGTCATTTTTTAAAAACAGAATTCTGTTAAAAATGGGGGAAAGTGCAAGTATGTTGGGGGGAGGAGAGATTGTTTTCTTGTTCTAATTATTCTCTGCATTGATGGATTTTAAAATACTGTTTGTTTACTAAATTTTCTGCAGTGATCTTATAATCCTTTTATTCATTTATTATGATGAGAAAATAGTATATTATTTCAATTTTTTCATTCATCCACAAAAGTGTTCCCTCTTTTGGGTTAGATTGTCAGTTATAATCAATCATTATCCAAAAATTCGATCAGATTGATTGAGGACTGTTAGTTAGCATCATAACTCTCACCCCACAGCTTTAGGAACTTCAGCTTGGGCGGGAAGTCTATCCTGAGCTGCTCACGGGTCCGTCTGTGAGCCAGAGTTGAGCAGCTGTCGGGCTCTCTCACTGTTGATTGTCCCCAGCGGTTCATGCACCATCTGTTGTGAATAATGCTAAGCAGAAGGCTCTTCTGATTTAAACTATTCCTTAATAAAGGTCAGGTGCTTTATAAATATTAGTTATTCTCTTGGTATAATCTTAGACTTATGGTAGGAAAATGCACATATTTAACTTGAAAGTACTTAGTCAAAGAACTCTCCCACTTTGGAGTGTAGACCAGAGAATAAGAGTAACAGGTATGTAATTTCTCCCAAGTCGTCCTTTATAGGTACAGTTTCATTATTTTGTTTTAAAGCATTACTTAACAAGTAAATAATTGGTGTGTGTGCCTAAGGAGGCAAATTTATCATCTAGTCAATGTATTGTTACTTTTAAAATGTTTTTATTGCTAAGCAATTATAATCTATGAGTAAAAATTTTCTGATAGTAGCTTGTTTCTATGGAGTAAGCATTTAAATTATATAATAATGGGAATTTTCTACTGCATTCTCAATTTTTTCCTTCAAAATGTGTTACATCTTTCAAAGTATCAAACCGTAATTTTAAAACATATTAGAAATTTTCAAATTCTTAGTATTTCATATCTGTGTATAGTGGTTTCAGCTTTGATTTTTGTTTTTAAAACTAACACTACGGGAGAAATGTCATTTTTTTCCTCTTGAAGCTTTATTGGACATTCTCTGGGCAATTTAATAATCCGTTCTGTGCTCACGAGGCCAAGGTTTCAGTATTACCTTGACAGGCTCCACACCTTCCTCTCCCTCTCTGGGCCTCACCTTGGGACGCTCTACAACAGCAGCGCCCTTGTGAATACAGGTAAAACGTTTATTGTGTGGTATAAAAAATAGGCATGGGGAGAAAATCTAAGTACAAATTTAACCTTTTCTAGTGTTTACTTTAGAACTGACTTGTAACATACTTGGAATTTCATGAAACAGAAGATGTAACAATTTTTCTATTTTGTCATGCATATGAAATAAGCTGATAAAAGTCATCTCAGAAAATGGATATTATCATATTGAGATGATAATTGTCAAAAGTCAGAAGAGCATTTTTTCTTTTTTGTATTAAACTGTCTAAATATTTTCAGCAAATGTTTATCTTATAAACATGCTATTCTGTTGTTCCATTAGTTGAGCAGATTACAGATATCTATATTTAATATAAAGTTATAAAGTATTTTATGCAGAATATTAACTCTGATTTTGGTTTCGTAACAATAGAGGGATATTTTGAGAAAATGCATTCTAAAATTTTTAAAGAAATTAAAATGAATGTTGAGGCCCCAATTTTTATTAGAATAAATAAATATTTTCATTAAGAAAGATCTGGTACTTGATTTGCTTTTTGTTTGGCTCAGTTTTTCCCTTAGATTTTTTAAATGGTTTTCATAGTTTAGTCAATTATTTCCATTGTGAGAATAAATGAGATTTTATTCTTTCTCTTTTCCCTGAGCCTTGAATCTCTTATTTCCACTTTCTCTTCCACTTTCATTGACAAGGAAACTGTACCATTTTCCTTTGGACCCATTTCAAATGGTGGTACTCAAAATACAGCTAGTTTTAATTTTTTACTGTTTCAAAAAGGGAGCATGAGAAAAATGAAATCCCTAAGTAATACAAAATAGAACCCAATCTGAATAGGATGCAGTACTGTGAATTTTTTTTCTTCATTGAACTTCTCCCCAGATAGGCTTACAGTTATCAGATTTAATCAAGTAAAGGGTTTTTTTCTCTTTTCTTCTCCTGTTCCCCTCTGTAATATTAGAAGCAGCAAAAGTGGAAACGAATATTCCACAATCTTGAAAAGCCATTCCAGAATGATTGAGGTTTCACTTAATTAAGGGGAAGATGCATTTAAATATAAGTAAATGATAATATAAAGAAATACAATTAAATATGGGACTTAAATTATATTCAGCTATTACTAGAAAACATTAACCAATTGCTCATTCTAAGGACTGGTCCTTATACAGTCAGTCTGCCAAACCTTAACTGCAACTGTCTGTAGACTAAAGGCTCGGTGCTTAGACCTTTGGATCCACAGCTGTGTTTGAAGATTTTCCCCCTTTGCTTCTTTATCATTTGAACAAATATAACTGAACATACAATTTTCCCAAACTTGTTGTTCTTAGACCATTATCTATGTCATTACTGAATGAGGTAGAAATACCAGGCCTTCTAGCAACTAACCATTAACCCCTGGTTAACCTATGTGTGCATGCGTATTTTTATATTTGTTATCAGAAAATGGAAATATTTTGCAAATATATTTTTTTATTAGCTAACAAAATGCTAGTTTGGGGATTGTCGTTTTTTGAAGTAAAATATATGTTAAATTTAATAATCTTAGCACATGTTGCCATGTATTTCCAGTTATACCCATATGTCATTTATAACTCTCTAGGTCTGTGGTTTATGCAGAAATGGAAAAAATCAGGTTCTCTTTTGCAATTGACATGTCGAGATCATTCAGACCCTCGCCAAACTTTCTTATACAAGCTTAGTAATAAAGCAGGTAAGTATATAGTAACAGTTTTGAAAACATTCACTTGAAAACCTTTTTTTAAAATAAACTTTTAGCAAATAAATTGAGAACATGTCTTTCTGGTGATTAAAAAAATATTAGTTGATTATAATTTCTTAATAATGAGAGCAGACTATTTAAAACTAAGCAGTTGAGAGCATGGTTGTATAATTTTTTCACATGATTGTATTTGTCTTGTATGAGCTGCACAGCTACTCTGAAATTATCCTAAAAATCTCGGCATTTATCATTCAGTACCACTGAGAAGTTAGTTTTTAAACGAGGCTTTTGCATGTCCTAGCCCTCCTGTGCTTCTAACTGCCCCACCTCAATCCTTAACCCTTTTTATAAACTGCCACATATTTTTCTGCCTTCCTATTCTAGGACTATTCAAGCATTGCTGGAAAATATCAGAAACTAAACTACTAATAGTTATTCTTTCTACAAATTCTTGCTACTGGATGAATCTTGTTATCCATCTCTTAATAATGATTGTTAAATATATTTCCCATCTTGAATTTATATTCCAAGCTTTCAGCCTGAAGTCCCCAACCACTCCTTTGCCATCCTCAGTCTCTGTAAATGACCTTACCTCTGACATCCCCACCTCTCCCAGACTCCTCCTCAATCTCCTGTCTTCCCAGCGTGTTCTTTCTACTGTGTCCTCTGAAATCTCCATTTGAGGGGAACAGACTGCCCTCATCTTGATCTTCAAAGAATGCTATCTCCACTTCCTCCTAAAGTGGAGACATAACCTAGATAGTTCCTAACTGCCCCCTCCCTCCATTTTAGAGCAGAGGTTGGCAAACTTTTTCTCTAAAGGTACAGAGAGTAAATATTTTGGTTTTGCAGCAATGTGATCTCTGTTGCAACCCCTTAACAATGCAGTTGTAGACAAAATAGCCATAGACAGTACATAAACAGGTGAGTGTGGCCGTGTTCCAGAAAAGTTTTTTTTACCAAAAAAAAGGCAGCAGGCCAAATCTCTCATGCTATACGTTGCCTCCCCTGCTACAGAAGCAGCTCAGTTTCTTATTTACTGAGTGCCACCTAGAGTGGAGAAACAGTGCTCTGGCTTCCATTCCCAGTCGCAATCATTGCTCCTCCACTGTCATGTAAAACTACTTCCTTGGAGGTTACACCATCCAAGCTGTGTTACCTTCCAGTCTTCCTTGATATAATGATCTGGTCACTCCTCACATGTTCAGTGAGAACTCTAATAAGAGTTCATGGACAAACGTTTACTACACAATTATGCTTGGGAAAAGATATTCTTGGATCTTAATATACTGAATCCTGGCATCATTTTTGGTAATTTAACCAAAATTAAACCATTTTAGTTAACCATTTAGATGATTCATCTAGCAGTACAGAGCCTTTCTCAACTCTAGTAACTTCCATTCCACTCCACTTTAAACCCACACCATGGCTACACTCCACCCCTGAAATTTCAACCAATATTCTGTTCTATGCCTACAATATCCTATACTTTCTCACTCTCTTGTTCCCCCCTGCTTTGTAGACTTGAGATCTCTACTCCATTTTCCTAAGATTACCCTGTTCTTCATGGTTCTACTCCCTTCTGATCCATCTCAGACTCCATGAATTATCACTTTTATCATTCAGACATTCTTACCCCTTGGTTTCCATCATAGCTGTCTAGCAAACCTGTATTGCTGTTTCTTACCTGGCTTGTTGAGCTCCACCAAAAAGGATTACACAGACATGCCAATCAAGACCAGTGATCCACGGGGTCCCCATCTAGTTGTCTCTCAGTAGCTTTCTATTCTTTCTCTTAAAGCTTTTCTAGTTTTTCACCTCTTTTCCTCAGACTTCAAACTACCATTGCTACCTTCACTTCCATGAATGACTTTGCTTCCTACTTTGGTCTGTGAAAGTTAAGGCCATCAAGCAAGAACTTTTCTACTTCCTTTCTTTTTACCTATAAACATTAGCATACCTGTGGTTTCCTTCTAGTTCTGTAGAAGATATATCAGGGGTCCAATAATTCCCCTTTCTCTTTTTTGGAATCCATTCCTTCTCATCTCAGTCTTCAAACTTCCCCTTTTCAGTGGCTAATCCCTTAACGTATAAAGTTATTCCAGTTTCTCCCATTGGGAGTCATTATAATAATAAACACCTCCCTTGATCACTGATTCTGTTGTTGTCCTCCTGTTTCTCCTTTGTTTTTAATAGAGTTGAGCCTCTTGAAAGAGAAAACAATCACTTTCACTACTTCCTTATCTTCTATTTCACTCTTCAATCCATTGTAATCTGATTTCTGTTCTCACCTCTCCCCTGAAGAGTGCCAGATCCACTTTCCTCTTTTCCCTCTTTTATTTGAACATACTGGCATTTAAGACTATTGAAACACTTTCCTTCTTGAAATACTTCCTCCCTCCAATTCTGTAACATCAGTCTCTCCTGGTTTTCATCCATCTTGACTCTCTGCTTCCTACGTGAGTTCCTTTTCTTTCCTTGCCTCTTAAATGTAGGTGTTCTCCTTGGGCTCCAGCCTCTGTCATCTGCCCCTCTCACTCTGTCCCTTCCTCTTTGACAGCATCACTCCATGTCCGTCTTCACCACTGGTAACTCTCAGGTGTACATCTCTAGCTCAGTCCTCTGTTCTGTGCTGGACTTATACGTCCAGCTGCCTACTGAATATATTCACTTAGAAGTCTCACATGACATCTAAGTTTTCAGAGACCTCATCTTTCCCCTCAGATTCACTTCTCTGGATTCCACATCTATAGGAATGGCACCACCGTCTACCCAGCCAGAAACTTAGAAGTTGTTCTGTACTCCTCTGTCTCACTCTGGCCTCATGTCCACTGAGTTACCAAGCCATGGAGCATTCAGCCTTCTCAGTAAGTGGTGGAGACTTCTCTTCCTTTTCTTCGCCACTGCCTTAGTTCCACCTTCATCACTTTTACTTAGATCATTGCTGCGGCCTCCATATGGTTACCCTGAGTCCTGTATGCCCCCTTCTCCCCAGTCTCACTTCCTCATTAGATGAAATGCTCTAAAAATTAAATCAGACCATACAGCTCCTGTTTGAAAGTCTTGTCGTACGCCTCATAGCTTTCAGGGTGAAGTTTAGACTCCATGGCTGAGGGCATCAAATCCTTATCATCTGGTTCCTAATCCTTTTACTTGCTTCATACCGTACTCTTCCCACACGCACATCCTTTGCCACACATGTCTTTTGCTTCCTGGTATCACCCATGCTGTTTCTACCACCATTCCTCCCATGTGTCTACCCATCTTTTTAGAACTAATTCTCTTCGTCTTCTAAAATTAAACTCAAGCGCCACCTCCTGTCAGAAGTTTTTCTTGACGCCCTGGTTCAACACTTCTCTACTCTCAGGGTACCTGGTAGAGTGCTCAGAATATGGCTTTATGTCCCAAATCTTACCCCTCCAGACTGACCTCATTAATGAATGCCAGTTTTAATTTGCCTGTTAGACATCTCTACTTACATATCAAACCAGATGTGTCTAAAACGGAACGCGGTGTCTTCTTGTACTACCTCTTCTCTCATCCTTTTAATGGTACTCTATCTGCTAAATTACTTGGTTTGAAATACCTCTGTGTCACCTTTGATTGACCCCACTCCCTTGCATGCCACATCCCAAGATTGCTAATATTATCTCTGAGCTCCTATAGCATTATCTATGAACTTCACTTTTCATACCCATTATAGCTTATCTCATGTCAGTCATTTTTATATATGTTAACCTTTCCTTAAGTAGGGTCTGTGACTGCCCTCTCCCACCCCCACATACACACTCAATATTTACTATAGTTCTTCCTGGTAGGTGTTCATTATAAACCCATTGAATCAATGAGTGATCTTTTCAATATTATTTTCAGTATCTAAAAGCTGAAAATCAAACGCATATATTCGGCAACTGATAGTTCCAAGTCTGAAGGAACTTGTAAACTTAAGCCATGGCCATTTAAATCTTTTTATCCTCATTCCTGTCACCCATCCTGCTTTTGGAACATTTGATATGGACACTGGATAGATTTAGTAATTGAATGTAGCCCGCGTTGTTTGAGTCTTGTTTTAGCTTTTTCGGGATTCTGCCATAAATGTTGTTATTAATATGAGGAAGAGACTGGGGGTGGTGATTTCGTGTATTGTCTGTCATTGGAATCCGTGAAAGAACAGTTCTCTTATGGGTCAAGTTGTCTGATTTTGTTTCTAAGGGTGCAAAGCAACAACAAGTTACTGACAGTGCCCAGAAATACATACTTGATTCATAAAACTATAAGATATTCCTACAAAATCGAGTATAGTGTATAGTTCTCATGTGAGAAAAACTTACTGACGTGAATTAGAACCATTGTCTGCTGAGGGGTTTGTACCACTGCTGCTGACAGGTTAGGAAACATACGAAAAGCAAAATAATGTAATGTTCCCTGGGATCTGTGTATTTATATGCATTTCACAAAGTAAAATTTAATTAGCAATAGTACTAATATTAACATAAGAAAATATAAACACGAAAGAAAGCATAACTGTAAAATTTCTCTAATCCATGGCCTTCCCCATCTGTACAGATATCTGTATTACTGAGTTTCTAACTACTAATAGATGAGAGTGGATCTTTTGCGCTTGAGTTACTGCCTAAGGATTAGTTAAAACTTTGGCTTACAAGTCATTCCTTTATTAGTTGCCTTATGCATGGCAAGACTCTTGCCACCCCTCTGGTTATAGCAACCTAACTGCTTAAGAGCCAAACTTTACACTCACACGCAGAGATCAGTTCTGGCCGAAAAGCTAAGTCACTTAATCTGAAGTCTTGCCATTTGTGACAGCACGGATGGACCTTGGGGGTGTTATGCTGAGTGAAATAAGCCAGACAGAGAAAGACAAACACTGTGATTTCACTCATGTGGAAGATAAACTAACACATGGACAAAGAGAACAGATTAGGGGTTACCAGAGGGGAGGGGGTCGGGGGAGGCGAAAGGGGCAAAGGGGC